GAAGGCTGTGACCTGCCCCCAGCCCCATGTTCTGCTCTATCTTTACACTTTACACTTTTCCCTGAGACTTAAAAACTCCCAATATACTAGGTAATTCACTTAATAATCATAATACTTTTATTATTATTATTATTATTTCCCCCTCACCCCATCAAAATGTACGCTTCATGGAGCAGGGACTTTATTCATTGGACCCTGGTGGGTTGTTTCCTGAAGGCAAGAAAGCCTGACTTGATTCTGGGGTTCAGGGGAGCTCTACTGGGTTGGGCAACAGCAAGGGTCATAAAAAACAGTCTTCACTGAAATTTCAGAAGCCTGCAGGGCTGCTCCCAGGCACCATCCAGTACTTCTCCCCAATTCCTGTGGGACTCAGTGAGAAGGAAGCCGAGCCTGGCCCCCTGGGCTTTGCCACTGAACACCTGGAAGGTTTAAGCTTCCAGAATAAGGAGCTGTGCCTCATGACAAGGGTGACCATGCTCCTGGTTTGCCCAGAACAGTCCCAGTTTACAGCTGTTGTGCTGTTGTAATTATTAATCATGCCTCTTTCATGTGTTGAAGTGTCCCAGTTTGAAGGAGCATGTGATAGGGATAAATCAACTGGAGGGGAGGAGAGGGGGGCCTGGAGAGTCAGGACATAAATGCTCTAGGACAGGGGCTAAGAGGAGGCAGCCCCTCCACCAACGGGGACTAGTTCAGTGTCTTATGCATGGCTGGGGCTCAATTAAGGCATGTTTGGGACATGGGGACACAACAGAAGGCCCCAGAGACATCTCTATATACCTATATATGCCAGCAAAAGTGGATGGGCAGTAGGACTAGTTGTGAGAGATTCAAGTGGAGTCATTTCTTGGTTCTGGGCTTAGGCAGGTGACAGAGGGACAGCACCCCCAGGGTGAAGGAGCAGGGAAGGGGAGGGATGATGACTGTTGTAGTAATATGGTCTTTATTTTTGCAAAATGAAAATTCATTTCCACTTTAGGCCAAATATGAAATGAACACACACTCTTCATAAAAAGAGTCAACACAGAAGCATGACAAATGGTACAAAGGAAAAGCTCTTCAGCAATCTCATGCCCCTGGAGAGATGCACCCTCTGTCTACTGAGCCCCACCAGGTGGAGATGGGCTTGTGCGCCCCGTCTTGTGGGGGAAACACCTGGCTGAAGCAGTTAGACTGTCTCCACCACCCGCTGGCTGGAAGGGGCCCAGGAGGTGGGGGTGGATACAAACCAACCCAGAGGCGCCAGAGCTGTGGGTGGGGGCTAAAGAGCGATGCGAGGCTCAGGCCCTGCTCATCAGTCCCTGCACCCCTTGGGGAACTGCCCTGCACTCCTCCTCTGACCTTCGCTCTTTTCTTCACCTGGAGGGGACAGTGGGTAGAGGCTTTCAGAGGTGGGTCCTGAATGAGTAGACTGGAAGGGGCTGAGGACACCCTGAGGAGCTGTCTCAAGGAAAAGAGGGTCCCCAAGGGATTTCCTGTGGAGTGAGGGTGCCAGGAAAGACCCAGGAGCACCCTGCCAAGGTGACACTTTTGCCAGCTGCCTTGATTGGGGTTCTCATGCAGCTGGAGGCTGCCCCCCACCCCAGGCAGCCCCTGGCTGTGGATTCCCGGGGGCTGTGTGCAGAGGACTGAGACTGTTCCTCCCCGGCCCCAGCCCTACCTGGGGTCACCCATACTCCTGACAAAGGTGTCCTTTGGGGCCTCTCTTGAGTCAAGGTTGACGATGTAACTAGAACCCTAAGGACCACTTTTTTGGCAAGAACCAAAAGGATTACCCAGGGAGACCCCTTTTTATTTTTAATTCTGTATTTTAGCAGCTCTACAGAAGGAAAGGGTTCTGTTATTGACATACTTCTGCATTCCCGTCTCATCGTACACAGACATTCTACCTGCTGTCCTCAGTGTGCACACACTGTCTACACCTCACAGCACTTCACAGACCCACAGTGCTCTGCACATCCCTTTTCAGCCAGCTGTGGCCTCCCTCCAGGCCACCTACTGCAGAGCTTGCTGGGCCACCGCCCTCTGCACAGGCATCTGGCCTGAAGCGAAATCAGCTCCCCTGCTCCCATCTTGCCTTCCCTCTTCAGGGCTTCCTCTAGGAAAGTGACCTCCAAGCCAACTAGTGTGTAGAACCTTTGATTGTTCTATTACGCACTTACATCCTGCTCTCCTGAAAAGCTGAACCAATCACAGCATACAGTGGCACCAGTTTCCCTACAACCCTGAGAGTGCTGTGTGTGCATATATATATATATATATATATATATATATA